TTTTGAAACCATTTGTCAAATCCCCGGGCCCAATACCCGGCCCCTGTACACATACCCGGGCCCAATACCCGGCCCCTGTACACGTATATGACAGGTAAATTCCCGACCCCTGTGAACTGTCTATTAGGCAAATTCCCAGGGGTGTCCCGGGGGGATGGTTACTCCAGGAATTGACCTGTGCAATTATATAAATAGACATCTTCTTGTTTTATTGTTGCATTAATTTTAATCTGAGAAAATTACAAACAAAGAAGGTCAAGTGCATGGATAAATTACTTATTTACTTACTAAAGCACATTTTTACAGTTATGTACTTATTTTGCATGAGTGTACATGACAGATTGTTTTAATTAGATATAGAAAGTTATCATTTATAACCCATGGTTTGTTTAAAAAATGCTGGAAAAAATCTAAAAAGTTAGCCAATTGAAATAAATGCACTTCAATAACTTGCTAAACATAGTTAGTTGCTATTATTTATATAAAAAACATTTGTCAACATACACTCATGCTTTTCCTACCACTTAAGTCTCCCATGCACTAACCATGTCTCTGCAAAATGTTTTGGATAAAATCCTATTTTAAAAAAGTCAATCCTATACTTGATATGCTGAACATATTAGACATCCACGACATCTCTTGCAGCAATTAATGGGTGCGGATACAGTGCATAGTTCAGAAGCAATATATAACCAACATGGGGCCATCCAGTTCCATAGTCTAGATCAATTGCTATTGCACTTGGGTCCCTTGGATTCAATGGCTCTGGCCGTATTCTTACATTCACTGGTTTATCTTGTTCATGAAGAGTGAGGTATGCCTTTTCCCACAGATGCACTTGAATGGTACAGCCTGGTTGATTTCTTCCTCCTCATCAATTAAATTGTCATCACTTTCTACCCTATCACCTCTTTCATTATCATATCCTTCCTGAACAGGCTCATGACCAGCCAACAACTCAAGTAAATCTCTTTCTACAAAATCATAACAAGAAAATTATTATTTCATGCACCGTCATCTCTAAAATTAGCAATCTTACACAATTAGCACTTTTTTCCATCCAGCAAACCGCCCTATCGATTTTCTAAAGTCGTTTTTTTTATTAATTCGGTTAGGGTTAGAGTTGCGGTTAGGGGTTAAAGTAGGGGTAGGGTTTAGGTTAGTTACATAGCCATTTAACACCTCTTCTATCTTCCTAAAATGACGTCAGGTCAGTTTGCTGGATGGAAAATAGTGCTAACCATAATAGAACAACACACAAACAATATTTAGATGAAAATTGAAAAATATTAAACTACAGTTTGCACATTTAAACAACCATCCACAACTAGATAGAAACAGGCATCATACTCAGCAAAAATTTATAAAATACATACAAATAACAATACCTTCAGACTCATCTGAAAACCAATGTCCATCATCAATTGTATTCGCTGTCAACTGATATGATCCACATCGAAATCCAAAAGCATATGCTGGATGTTTTCATTAGCAAACTCATCAGGAATAGGGTCAAACTAAAGTGTTGAATTTAATATTTGAAATATTACGCCATAATTTGTACAGTGTATTTATAAAATTACAGTACAATATTGAAAACAGCATAGCGGAAATTTGAAACAAGTCAACTGTATTGCATTGTAGGATACCAACCTTAAATACTGCGCATGTTTTCACGATGATGATACACGGAGATTCCATCCAACTTAAAAAGAACAGCCTTGCTACTGGAAATAACACAATTCCTTCGCGGATTATTTATAAAGCTATAAAAAGACAGCACGTCCCATGCAATTTAGTATAAGGTAAAGTTGGTATAGTAACTCACACGTCATAATGAGGATCGCAACAATACAGCAATAACATGCTATTTTCACGAAGTATCGCAGCCTGACAATCTTGTCTTTCGAATGCTTTCATATTTGTTTACTCAGAGAGATGTTCACTCCACGACAGTCAAAGAGTCATTGAAGCCACGCCTGGAATTAGGCGCTCAAACCCATGATGCTTTGCGACCTGCTTGTCCGACCTCCTCTGGGCTACATGAAGTAAAGCAGCGTAACAGAAGCGGGCGCAATAATCGCGGGCTCTTGAATACGAGAGGATCATAGTTCAAAAGATCAGTATAAAAGCGAAACAATTTCGTCAGTATACAATATTTCAATGAAATTAAAGCTTGTTGAGAAGATGTTATGTTACTTATAGGTTTCAACGTTAGTATAAAATAATTGTTTTTGACATCCACTATGAATTTATTGTTTATTAATTCAATCCCAACTCAGCCAATTTTAACACTAACCCAAATAGACACCACATCAATGAGAAAAGCGTGGCATTTATTCGAGGGAGGCGTTTATTTAAGTAAAATGGGAAAATTGGGAAGTGTCCCGGTTTTGAGGACTCGGAGGTTGGAATGTCTGCCGGTTATATTCATTTACATGTATATACACAGAAAAGCATGTCATTGTCCTTGCAAACCATAGGCAAAAAGCATTTGTCAACCATGCACATACCAAATTTAAGCACTCGTTAAATCATATACATGTCATGGAAAGAATATGGTAATAGTGTTGAATGAAAGCTAGCCTCGCGTATAATATTAAAAGCATTGCATATAGTGCTCGAACCACTGCGTATAATTGCAAAAGCATCGCGTATATAAATGGTGAAAGCACCGCGTATAATACTGGAACCACCGTGTATAATGGCGAAAGCACCGCGTATAATGGCGAAAGCACCGTGTATAATGCCAAAAGCACCGCCGTATAATGCTAAAAGCACCCAACAAAATGGCTTTCCATAAAAGAAGACCAAAGATGAAACATGATCACATTGCCTGTTTGCCTTATGCCTGACCGCGCTGCACCACGGTTAAAATTCACTGGTACCGTCATGCAATGCGCTAAATAGAAAATTTTGATTTCGACCCACAAAACAAAATTAGGATCTGCTGCCTTGCTCGCTCGCTTCAGGCTCGCTCGCTGCGGCAGCAACAAAACTAATCACGTTTTCGTTGGTTTCACGTCTGATTTTTCCTGATTCAGCTATTGTTGGTCTCGAGCACTCTCATCAATATAAGTATTAATTAACTTATAGAGTAAAGGTGGAGTAATACGGGCAACAAAATTGCTGCAACTTGCAACAAAATCTGATTTCTACGCATGTTAATTGAAAGTGTTTACACATACATTACAAATCACGAGGCAACATGTGTCAACATTTCTACTCAACATGCGTTGAAATCTGATTTTGTTGCAAGTTGCAGCAATTTTGTTGCTCGTATTACTCCAGCTTAAGACCAAGTCCAAATATTTATGCCAATAAGTTATTGGTAGTAACTCCAATTGATGTAATCTAGTTATGTACGAGACATTGGTGCATGCATGATAAACCCAAGATTTACTGAGATGTATTTCGCTGCTCTTCTCTGCACCTGCAAAACACAACTTCTATCAGTTCTATACGCACAAAAGATATAGAAGTCGATGTATTTTTATTATACGCCATAGTTCAAAGTTTTTTAATTTGTTCTCGGAGCATACATGCATACAGCTATTTCAATTAAGGTTGTCCACGTGCAAAGCGGAAAAGTCGAATACGAGCGCGAAAGGCTGCTGGGAATCGTTAACAAATTAATGAATTTTCAAAGCGATTCCCAGCAGCCTTTCGCGCTCGTATTCGACTTTTCCGCTTTGCTCATGGACAACCTTAATTGAACAAGACGCCTGCTCAGGCGTTCACACTGGCCTGAAAATAACGAGATACGTGCTATCGGTGCAAAAGGCAGGAATACAAATCTTAAACCGCAAGCAAATTTTATGGACTTTTTAAAAAAATAAAAGACCTTTTCGGGAGACGTAATGGAGATCGATGCACGTGCAAATCATGCCGACCTACAGAATCGATTTCCGGTTTTTCCTAACAGCGCGTTGTTTTCATGTCCGTTCCATGGGCCGCGCTAAAAATATAAATATTCTGTAAATACCGAAATAAAAGATGAAAATCTCAAGACACAAGCTTGAAAATAACACTATAAATAGTGTTTTCGATTCTGGTTCCAATAACATTATCACGAAAAAGATATGTCCGAAGGGGCCAAAGTTATGTTCGGCAAAATGTATGGCTAGTTTACATTGTTAGTTGTATTATGAAATATGATACCATACTTGTATTAAAATTCGCGTCGAACTATTAAATGTTATTGTAAATGAGTAGACTTGCCACAAGTCGACCTCGAACGAAATGCGTTTCTTCGACTCCTTCGAGGTCGACTTGTGGCAAGTCTAGCAAATGAGAACCATACAAATGATACAATAATAGTTCTAGTTCTTGTTGGTATTTTGAACGCACGCTTTATCTTTAGTATAGCTACCACAAAGCTTTTCGCGCGGATTATATTTCGTGGAGTAATAAATATTATATTTTGTGGTTTTCGAGTCATTACACAAAGAAAGACACATTAATTCAACACGCAAGAAAGTCCAGAATACGACACAACGTAAAATACATAGGAAACCGGCACAATTCTTTGAAAACTCAACGAAACTGTTTAAAATATAGTTTGATCACTCTGTGAAAAGCCGCCATTGCAGTTCGGAATTGTGCGCGTGCGTACAAGTGTATAGGCTAATAAACGAAAAATGTACCACAAGCATGGCATGAGTCGGCTATTACGTACATATATACGAGCTTATTACTATACTATCTAAATCATGGAACCGAGGGAATCGATGGCATTTTGGCTTAATCGTTGCACCCTGAGCCTGCGAGAGCTAACGCAAACTCGATTTCTCGACTACGAAAAAAACAGAAAAAGGGGGATTTAAGACACTTGGCCTTACAGGCCAGTGTAAATAGCTGTATGTATCATATATTCCACCCCCGCACTGCAACTTGTTCCGGTTGCACTGGCTGATGCAAACATTATTTGAATATTATGTAATCAGACAAGTTTAGGTGTGTTTATAAGTCTTTGAACTGCCTTTCATCTGTATCTCAACATGTCTACTAGCAGCAATCAAGGACGAACCAAAACTGTGCATTTTATTCGTCATGGTGAATCTACTTGGAATGTTTGCCGACGTCAACTTAAACTAAGTGATTTACCGCAACAAGACCGACCTGTGCTTGTTGATGCTCCACTTTCATTTAAGGGAATGCAACAAGCGAGCACGTTGAAAGAAACTATTGTAAACCTCAAACCCGAAATCGCTGTAACTTCTCCCTACACTAGGACGTTACAGACATGTCTTACTTCGTATGGTTCTGAGAACGTAATTGTCACAGCACTTTGCCGCGAGTTTATGGCAGCCACTTGTGACAACATCGGGTTACCGGCAAGTTGCCTAAAAGTTATTTATCCTTGCTTTGATTTCTCATCTCTGGACGAGACATGGTGGTATATTCAAGATGATATCAAGTCGCAACCAAAAGCCGTGAATCTGCTTACACAAGGTGAACTGGTAGTTGAAAATCAAGAACAATTTGCAGCAAGAGCGGAAGAATTTCACAAATTTCTCTGCGAACGACCGGAACGCAGTATTGCAGTCTACTCGCATAATGATTTCCTGATGTTCTTCCTGTCGAAATATTTTGGTTTGACCACCGCGCATATATCAAATGGCGAGGTATTTTCTCGGGAAATGCCATGCCAGGATTGAACGAAATTTAGTAATTAATTAGTTGATTAACGAGGCACTAATTCATTTAAGTAGGGTATTACCATTTACCTAGGATAACTTAATTAATAATTACGATTGACGGCAAACTATTGAGTGGAGTTTTTACTGAGTGGACGTTGAGTGGAATTCTCCCTCTGTTTGGCTTTTGCACTTTTATAGTTTCTTATATCACATAAAAACAAAATAATGGAAACCTCGTAAAATGAGAACTCTAGCAGTCTAGGTTTCAACTAGATTTTCACAGTCATCGTCAAGAGAATGTCAGATATAGCTTTCATTTCAAACTGCAAACCGTTTTTTTATCATACAATATACATGCAATAGAAGTTCTCGAAACGCACAGTTCGCTTGCGTGGTTTATTTGTATTACCTAACTATAGTATAGATTGTTTAACTGATTAAAGGCTAGTTTCCACTCAGGAAAATTATCCGTGGATTGGAACGGATAAGAAAATTTTTCTTTGTGTTAAAGTCAGTTCCAATCCAGAGCTCACAAGACAAAGAAACATTTTCTTGTCCGTTCCAATCCGATTTTCCTGAGGCTGACTCAGTGGCTGAGTGGAAATTAGCCTTAACTCTCGATCTGCTATTTAAACTATCCATATTGGCACACACGATAATGAACTGTATGTATATAATTAACTTCTGTCATTGTCAATTTAAAATGATTACAAGAAACTGTTAATGAATAATGTTTTAGCACAATCAGAGATTGGTGATTTTAGCATACTACTTGTCTGATTACGATCTAGCCCGCGTGCAGGCCCAAGGGAGTCTTCCCTTGCGCCTGCACGCGGGCTAATTACGATGATATTAATAGAATGTTAGGATTTGTAATCCAAGTGAGAATATATACATTTTAAGACCTAACCAGGAACGACTGCGAAAAATGCAGCACAAGGTCCTCTGGTAGGAATTGAACCTACGGCCCTGCCATTCCGGTGCAGCGCTCTAACCAACTGAGCTACAGAGGCCAGCTGTTGAGCTGTAACCGTAAGTTCATGTATATATAGGTAATCGGGTGTGCGGGTTGTGATAAGGTTCGTGGACTTCAATGATGGATTCTTGCACTTCACTTGGTGGAATTAATATTAGAATGTTAGGGTTTGTAATCCAAGTGAGAATATATACATTTTAAGACCTAACCAGGAACGACTGCGAAAAATGCAGCACAAGGTCCTCTGGTAGGAATAATTACGATGATCCTACCACAACATTGACGATTTACGAACTTGGAAGACTGTCTGTACCAAATGTAACACAAGCAGAAGTCTCACCCGACCATTAACTTGCTATTACTAAAGGGGTGTTTACACATTGCGATTTTGTCCTGTGCGATTCGGGTTCTGGTGCATAAATTCATTTGTTGCAACAATTTAAAAAAAATCTTAATTTGAGGCGAAATTTTAAATGCACAAATTTACGCGTGCCTACTAAATTACATACGCCAGAATACGAGAGCAATTGTTGTATGATGTTTGGAAGCGAAGCACAATAAATAAAATTAATTGTTATCCTTTATATAAGTACACAAGATATAAAGTGTCGTTCTACTAGGCCATTGCTCTACTAGTTGATTTGGCTGTCAGTTGAGCTATCAAGCCTATCCAACGAGATATTCTTCATTACCTAATAGTACACAACATTTAAACTCTTTACATTCAGAAGTCTACTTCACTGTCTATTCTAACTGTAGTCAGTGTAGAACTATTAATTCGTATTCTTTATGTAAGTATGCATTTAAACTCTCAACCGTCACGAATTTAGTCCATTGCTCGGCTATTGTGCTACCAGTGACAACTTACAGAAAGTTCAGAGTTGGAACTCACCACCTATTTTCGTCAGGTTAGGTAAATAAGTAACTTGTGGTTACCATAAATTCTGTCTATACTGTTCTACCTAGAGGTCCAGCAAGGGCCACCTGTTATTGGTTCAGTGTCACTTAATCAAAATCAGACACGAAATTAAAATCATACAACTGTGATCTGCATATAACAAAGGTGCAAGCCATGATGCACCAACCTCTGTACCCCACCTTACAGAAATTTAACGGGAAAATTTTTTTGCAAGGTTATGATGTAAGTCGTTTCGAAGGTGAAATCAGGTGAGATCACCTTCGATCGCCACAATACTCACTCATCTTGTAAATTCTCGAACATGCCCAATCCCCCCCCCCCCCAAGTCAAAGTCCCTTTTCCCTAAAATATAAGCAAAACATTGGAAGAAAAATGGAAATTAGAAGGGATTTTGATAATCTAGTAACTGAAATTTGCTTTGTGAATCTTAAGTCATGTCTTTAATCTTCAAATGATTCAATGTCTTTTTAAAATTGCTAAAAATTGTGTTGTAAATACCTTAGATTTTAAAACTTTCCCTGTGGATAGCATATCCCAGACCCTATAGATTTGAGTTGTTGGAAGGCTAGGCATACTATGCAATTAGTACTTAACTGAAGATGTGGTCTATCTACAATATAATGTAATGCTGTATATCCAAAAATCTGTTTCAAAAAACGCACTGAAATGCAGTCCTAGATGTAAAAAATGCAACATTTTTCTGGGGGAGAATGGCCCCAGACCCCCTACTATGACCATCTGTCATCTCTCAGTATAGTATTAGTATGGTCCCTTTTGGTAGAGAACATTAAGAGAACTAATATATAAACTTCACATTAATAATCAGTTTTCATCTTCATATCTGGCAGAAATGAACTCCAGAAATCTTTATTAGTTTATATTGAAATTAGTTTATATTGAAATTAGTTTATGTAAATAGGGCAAATTTTTAAATAAATAAAAAAAAAAAAAGTTTATATCGAAAGACCCCTGAACTCTTCATGCTCAAAATAGTTTATATCAAAAGAGCCCAGAAATTTTCATGCTGAAATTAATCTACACTGAGTGAAAGACCCCCAAAGTCTTCATGCTCAAATTAGTCTATACCAAAAATTTCACATTGTTTGGACATTCAGGTATGATTTATAGCATTTTGAAAATTTAGTTTTTCCAGGACATTTGACTGGACTTTTGACTTCACTGCTGCAGTGAACCACATCTACCACTTGTGTTTCCCACCCCACCAATCCTCACTTTCCCACCAACATCCCTGTTTTGATGTCCTGATAAGATGAAAATTAATATAATCACAAATACTGAGATCTTTAAGTATTTATTAAATGTATGAGTAGGAATTCTGCTGCACCAATTCCTATAATAAGACCAACCTTTCCAGCACAAGTGAATTTCATGAGTGGAATATGGAATAACAAGTGCCACAATAATAAAAAATGAGATTATTCATCGACACTGGATCCCAATGTGTATAGAAGATGTTATGTGTCCGACACAATATTATGAATGCATGCGTACAACACTCACATTGTTTTAGACATTAAAACCTGAACTTTGCCTGCACCCAACCCCCGTCAATCCTAACCCTGATGGGGACCCTTACCCAGTTACTCTAACCATTTATCAAGAGGTTATTTGTTGCATGATTGCAGATTACTCACACTCAGAAATGTGCTATTGTAGACAGACAGCTACCTGAAGAAAGTAGTTGTGTCTGACAAACCGTGTTTACACACTGGGATCCGTTGCATGAAAAAAAGGATATATCTCAGTCTACAGTGTCTTTGTCAACAAGTTACAAGTATAACATAATTGTTTAAATATTTGCAGAAAACACCTCACAGTTATCAAGATGGCTATCAGTAAACCCAAAATACTTTGAAAGAAATTCACAAAGAAAATCATTGTGAGCAAATACTGCAATATTCTGTTCAGGCCTTTTCAATAGAAAATCATAGAACTTTTCCATCCTTGTAGTTACATTCCCGTTTGTTTCAAATTCTAGTTTCCCTTGCGCAATAAGGCTGACTGCTTCTTGTTGACTGTCGATACCATCTTGTACGTACCACCATATTTCATCCAAGGAGGAGAAATCAAGCATTGGGAACAACCCTTGAAGATAGCTGGCTTGTAATCCTATATCATCACAGGATGAAACACGTTCACCACATAATGGACTCACAACAACATTATTTGAACCATAGGACAAAAGACAGGTGTGTATTGTCCGTGTATATGGAGAACAAATAGCTATTTCTGGTTTTAATGTGCGCCCAAGATACTCTTTCAGACGGTTGGTTTGTTGCATACCCTCGTATGATAAACCAGGATCAGGAATCACAGCGTTTGGAAGTTTATATGCTTTGAGTTCTCTTCTCAGAACGTTACATACAGATTCAGCGTGGCGAATAAAGTGAACTCTTTTGTTTTGGTTTGTACTTGTGGCCATAATATGAGTTTTATATTTTTATATGAGTACTGTGTTCAGGGCTGCCACTCTCGATAGGTAACCTTACCTATTTTCACCTAGGGCACAGAGTAAGGATATACAGAGGCGGAACTCGAGGCAAATCATGTCCCCACTTTTTTAATGCGCATGCGCGACCCTCTGGCAAGTGTCATGCACATTTTTATCAGGAAAAAGATAGGGAAATGCAAAATTTTGGCAGTAAAACGGCAATTTTAAGCGCAGAAACCGATCAATCTTCATTTTGTGCACGAATTTTGCAAATAAACGGCACACTGCGTCTTCTTAGCAAAAGGGAATTGAATGAATACCATTTTTAACGGCGAAAATGAGAAAAGACACCCGAAGGAGTGAGAATTTCTGGCAATCTGAAGATTCGATTCTGTAGACCTGAACGCCAGCTGGAACTTGGCAACTTTATATGTGAGTTTTTTTTCTCTAGCTCATATATATATCAAATTATCAATACATTTTTGTCAAGTGCAATGTTGTATCAAAGGGTTGTCGTTAATTTAATATGCAATTTTCCCCTAATATATTCAATATATTTCCCCCAATATGCAATTTTCCCCTATGTTCCCCTACGTTCCCCTACAAATACTGTATTGTATATTTGTATTTCCTTACAAATATTGTTTAATATTGCCATATTTGTAAAGAAAATACACTGGGCTGTCATAAGGGACGGACCATTATTTTTCTTAAAAAAATTGTTTGCAAAGACAAAAACTGAAAAAAGTGCAAATAAATTGTTTGCACACATAGAAAAGAGGAAAAAAAGTAGTTTGCAAGCTAATGAGATTATGCAACATCAACCAAGGTTAATGACAATGAACAGAGTGCTCACCAACATACCCAGGGTCTTCACCCCAAAAGCCCGGGTCTTCACCCCAAAGCCCCCCCCCCCCAGGAAAAGTCCCTTTTTCCTAAATTTACACAAACAAACCAGCGAAAAATAAAAAATTGATAAACAAAAAGTAAGTTTTAGGCTTTATCCTTTCTCCTTGTTTAACAAAATCTATTTAAATTGTTACGTTTTTCTACCTGGCACTAAGCAATGATAAATTATTGTTAATAATTTTTTATTTTTTGTGCGTTTTTTCCTTCTTTTATTCAAATACAAGTATACTTAGCATAAATTTTAGAGCAAATTTAAACGCTCAGAATGCAGGAAATGGCATTTCAGGGCTTCAAATTTCAAAAATTTTCTGGGGAAATATGCCCCCAGACCACATGGCTGTCAGCCATTCCTATCCTCTAATATATTACCTCACAGAAAGGTCCCCCCCCCCCCCACATGGGAAAATCTTTAAAGAAGGCCTGGACCAGTATACCAAAAAAACTCTTAATTAAATGTCTGTTTACATATTAAATTTATACTTCTGACAACACCACATGTTGTTCGATCACCAGCG